GAACCAACATAGGATGTGAATCATCTGCCACCCGGATGTGGCTCTGTACAGAGCAGCCCAGTAAATACTTTACGAATGGACGCCTTTTCAATTTCCGATTGTTATTATCTTGGATGTGGCGCACCTCCAAAGTTGTGAGCAGTATTCTAGATGCGGTAAGACATAGCCCTGTATAAACGCAGAAGAATGGATGGATGCGAGCAAGTATGTTCCTCATAAGTGTGAATACGTGCAGACATAGCGCCTCTCTTTGCTCACGGCTCCGCTCATCCTGAGTGGAAAACTTCGTCCAACTAGAGTTCAAATCAACTCTATAGTATTTAGTGAACTTACATGTTGTTAGTTTTTCGAATTTCAGACCGCACACTTCACTCTCGGCAGCTGGTGGTGTCCAAAATGCATAAACCAAACATTTGGCTTAGATTCACGGGCTCGTGTCCGCACAACATTATCCACTCACACATTCTTTCGACTGACGTTTTGAGCGCATCTTGCAAGGCGTCATTGTTCCCATTTCATATGCACAGTATACTTTGATGTCATCTGCATAAACTTGTACATGAATGTCGGAATGTGTCTTAAGAAGCCGGGGCAGCTCAATAGTGTAAATCAGGAACAGCAAGGGGGACAAAACCCCTCCTTGCGGGACGCCGCTAGTGCAGGGAAATTTTTCAGAGAAACTAGTCCTGACTCGAACAGTCATGTTCCTGTGCTGTAAAAGAGACCTTATCCAGTCAAGTATCTTGCCACGGATACCGTAACACTCCAGTTTGCTCAGGAGTTTTTGATGACAAACTCTATCAAAGGCCTTAGCCAGGTCGAGATGAATTATATCCACTGACTTCCCCTGGTTAACAGCTCTGCAAACGTCATACAAAGTGTCAATAAGATTGGTACAGGTTGAAGCTCCAGGTAGGAAACCATGCTGCTCCGCGGGAATGTGGTTCAGACGACTAATATCTTAATCTGTTCCCGGATACCATGCATTCCTGCGCGCTGAACTTATCATACGACTCCTGCCACAATGGCAGCTACACAACATTCAAGCACCTTTTTCCTAGGTTTAGACGGTGTTATAAATTTATCAGAAATTGAAAAACTGGTGAGCTATAAAAATTCTGTGGTTGGCTGATTTTCGTATCATTCGGGTCGATACTAGCGCTTTTCGAATCTTAAGCGCCTCTGCATGAATATTCGATGTGTCTTACAGTAAACCATTTATTCCTGTTTTTAATGCACCCAATTATATTAATGCAAGATGAAGGCACATAAGTACAGTAAGCGGATTAGCAGACATTGAAGTTAAGGGAATATGAATTGTCTTGGACACAAACTAGAAAATGGTTCCATTGTAAATATTCTTTTACATGAATACTTTTATAATACTGGTATGAATCACAAAGGCCTAGAACAACGGCAAATCTAATTCTGACGTTTATCGAACCATGGGGACCTTTCCCAAGAGGTTCAAACTGCACGAACAATTTTCGCCTAAAGTCTAAACTTTTCGGGAAAAGGCGCTCAACTTTATCAGTTGAACTATAAATCATAACACGTAGATATGTGATAAGGAGTAATACTCAATAGATTATCGATAATATAGGAGTTAAAGCAAAGCGAACGAGATGCCAGCATGTGATGTTCATGTGAATGTTCCATTACGGTAGCGATGTTGTATTATTTAGTCTTGTCCGGCTTCTTCTTTCCCTTTATTGATTTGATGAAGGGCAGAAGCTTCAGATCCGTGGTGAAAGATCGCTTTTGTCTGAAAAAAGAAGTCTTCGGAGGACTGTCGCGAACTCCTAATTTAGTCTTCCTAGCGGGGCTTACAGGCAAGAGGCACGATAAATCTTCATGACATGTAGGATGAATACGAATAGCAGAATAAGATTTGGCGTTTCCTAAGCAGGCGCTGCGTGGCGCCTTTATAGGTACCCTTATAACGCCCTATCAAGCTGCAACATACCGACCCGGACGTCCACCGCGCCCGTTACTCTTCCCATTGTTCGACCGGTGCTGGTGCTTATATCGGTTCATTAGCGAAGTGCAATATGAAGCGAAGGGTTTAATATGAAGCGGCTGCGGTGTCCATGGGTATATGAGTGCGTCCATGCTACCGTAGCGGTTATAGGTCAATGGGAAACTCGTTCAAAATCGCTTTAGTCGAGTAAGAAGAAAGGGTTCTTTGCAGGTTTTGATTGTTCAGTTCACTTCGTAGCATCGCTGCACATATGCCAGTTTAGAATGCGTACCAGATTATCATGCCTCATGCCTTCGAAAGTCAATGGCCGTCGAACATTGTTAATTTATACACTAATAAATCGGGCGGAAGTGGGGCAATAACAACTAGGACTGTTGAGCATCCTCGCCACGTGTAAGTGTGAAATCCCGGCCCAACTCCCAGCCAGGCCAACAAGGCTTTTTAACCTCCCGGTACCAGATCCGTACGGGAAGACAAAACATTGACATGCACGTCGGCTGACCTCCCACATATGCCAAAATGTGAAGGTCTTCCGAATGGAATGAAGAAGAATGCGTAGCGCATCTCTGATAGCAATTGCCTGATTGGCACCGAGAGCTTCATACTTCATGCAGTAGAGCATGATTGCTAAGTTGAGCTTGTTCAGAAGCCCTGCACCTTCAGGCGAAAATGGCACTGTGAATAGAGTCTACGCTGTTTTTTACACGGCGTTTATGACTGAGCTCCGCAAAACGCAGACCGCTGCCCTTTCTTCATCGTTCTGTTCGGAATGAAGTGACACTGCACCTTTGGGGGAGAGCTGCTATGGCTCGCAACTAGACTGTGGCTCACTAGCTATTGCTTACAGTTTGAGCTAGGTATTGCCTAAAAGTGCAAAACAAGTCCGTCGATACCGAGACTTCCACGTCGATGATCAGCGAATAGGAGCGGTCCATGATTC